ATTAAAGCCTATTGGATAAGATGCCAATCTGACTGTGTCATGCTACTACTTGAGTTCCTTCAATACCCTCCTATTGGCCTAGAAAATAAAGTCCAAGGGTGAAATGAAGTTCTCTATGACCTGGTGCCTACTTAACTTCGTATCTACATTTTCAAAATTCTTCATCTTAGAATCTGTGACCTGAAATTAGCAAATTGTGAGTTCTTCACCCAGATTCTACTGAGTCCTGTCCCCATGCCCTTACCAAAACTACCCCATCATCCTGGAGCACCACTACCTCTGTTCTGCTGTGTCTGCTTCTCTTGGTCTTTAAGACTCACCTTGGGCATTAGCTCCTTCACAGAGCTTTCCTGAACCCTAGAATATGCTAAGTCCTTCTCAACAGCCCTGCTGAACTTCTGAATGCCTCTTTTAACTACTCTTTTATGAAAATTATACCCATTTATCTTAGGTGTCTCCCCCACTAACTGTGTGGTCCTCCAAGGTGGGAACTGTGTCTGATTCATCCTGGTATTATTTAGAATAGTCCCTGGTATATTGTAGGTTTTTCGTATATATCTGCTGATCTAAATTCTACCAGATTTTAGAGCTCTATGAGGTTAACACATTCATTCCTTTATTTATTCCAGACACTTATGGAGTGTTTTTTTTTTTATGCCAGGAAATCTGCTAGGTTCTGGGGAGACACCTGTGAACAGAAGAGACCTTTCGTCATCATAGAGTTAGCTCCTGTTTAAAGAGTTATCAAATAAATTACCAAAGGCAACAAAGTAAGCTAATGACTGAGGACAGGTGGGGTGGGTTTCCCCACTTCAGATACAGATTGAAGGACTTAATTGGGACAAACCTCAGAATAAAGCTGGTTTTCCCCTTGATTATGATTTGCTAATTTGGGAGAAATAGGGATATTGCATGTGCCAATGTATACAAATGTATAGTTATATTTGTATTTACAAGTTGTTTATAAGAGGTATTATAAAATCCTTAAGAATAATTATTATAGGGACACCTGGGTAGCTCAGTGGTTGGGCGCCTGCCTTCGGCTCAGATCATAATCCTGGGATCCAGGATCGAATTCCACATCAGGCTCTCTGCGAGGAGCCTGCTTCTCCCTCTGCCTATGTCTCTACCTCTCTCTCTCAGTCTGTGTCTCTCAAGAATAAATAAATCTTTTAAAAAATAATTATTATAGCAAAATGCACATGTCTGGTTTAACTTTTATGTATATTATTTCATTTAGGAAGAACATGACAAAGAGCCTAGTATATCCATGTTAGGGAAGAAATAGATTCAAATAGGATCAGTGGCTTACCGCAGGCCATACAGCCAGTGACAAAGCTGGTATTCCCAACCAGATTTTCTGATTATAAACCCAGTATACTTTTTCTTAATACAACTACACCTCTGTCAAAGCCTTTTCAATCCTGTTCTTCCTAGAGGAAGTTCCAACTCACTTCTCTTAGCCTTGCTGAGCCTTTCTACATAATACTTCTCTCATATCAGATAGCTAGGAAGTTCCTAAAAGATTCAACTGTTGCCATGCCGAGATGTTCTTAGTGATCCCAAGAAAATCATATGGCTAATAGTGCCAAAGAGCATTTACCTACAATAGTAATTTTACAAACATTTTACTTACAAGGTTATTTATTTAAACACAATTAATTTGCAAACATGTGGTTTCACTTAGCAAATGTTTACTGAGAGCCCAGTAGGTGCTAAGAACCATTGTAGGAGCTGTAAACCCACAAGACCCAAAATAAGACATACATGTTAAATCACCAAAACACGACAAGGAACAAGAAACCGAGGTGGTAATGTTTAAGTGAACACAAACTTGTATTGATAACTAGGGTGTATGGAGAACCACGATAGTCTGAGGACAATCTGGACAGTCTTTGTGGCGGCTTTTACAGCAGCATGGAGCTAGGAAGTGTGCATCCAGGTGAAATCCACAGTCATTCTGCTCAACAGTGGAGGCAGAACTTTTGAGGGTGAAGTAACTGTGGTTAAAAAGATAAAGCTTATTTTGTACTACACACAAAGTATCAGTGATCTGGAACAGAAACTCTGAAGTCCTTTTGCCATGTCCCCATTTTGAAGAAAATAATACATAAAAGTGCCCGCTCAGCTTAAGGCAACACAGAGCCTCAAATGGCAGGCAAGGTCAGAAAAAGGAAGAAAGAGATAGGGAAGAAGGGCTTGTTAAATAACTGGACACTGGTCTAAGGGTAAACAGTTCAACTGGCTCTATGAGAGTTATCAAGGAGAGAAATCCCAACCTAGCTGGAAGCTTCCACTATACACTAAATTGACAAAGACAAATATCAAGAGCAAGAGAAGAATTTCCCAGACCTGCCCTACAGAAAAGTGAACTGTAATGATTAAGTGGAAAGAAAGAATATGCCAGGACCACAGGACACTGGAAGTTCTCTGTTTAAGATACTCAGACAAAGGAGAAAGCTTCCCAAATTCCTTGGAAACACAATTCTGTATGTAACACAGAGATGGTGGTATCAGTTAACGAAGTTCTAATTGTGTCTATTGCTTCCCCCAGAATGGGATGGACTTTCTTTTTTCTGACTTGATCTGGATTTAAATGCAGATTCATGCTGCTATGTATATATTTTTACTACTAAGTACTAATTATTTCTGTTACTGACACTTTTTTTCAGAGCTGTCTTTAATTTTGCAGCTATTAAAATAACATTTCTTATGGACTTTTGAAGTTTTCTGCTCTCTATACCTGGGCAGTGTGTACGTGAGTGCATGCGTGTGTGTCTGTGTGTGTGTGTGTGTGTCCATACAGACTTCATTTACTTTAGGTTTTGTGTATATGAAACCATCAGAGATATCTTCGCGTTTTTATGAGGCTTGTTTCAAAAATGTTCAGGAACATCCTTTTTGATTGATAATTTGCAATTGGGAAACTGTTCCTTTGTCTCAACATACATAATTGAGAGATGCTTCAATATAATTGTGTGCAGGGGAAAATTAATTCTAGAGGCCTCCCCTAGATACCGTCCATGCTCAGGGTTGTTTCACTACAAAAAAATGGATGAGGGATCCCTGGGTGGCTCAGTGGTTTAGCGCCTGCCTTCAGTCCAGTGCATGATTCTGGAGTCCCAGGATCGAGTCCCACATCGGGCTCCCTAACGTGGAGCCTGCTTCTCCCTCTGCCTGTGTCTCTGCCTCTCTCTCTCTCTCTCTCTCTCTCTCTCTCTCTCTCATGAATAAATAAATAAAACATTTTTTAAAAAAAGGATGAGTTTTCCAATCAATGCCTCATTCATGCCCGAGCCATGTACGTGGCAGCAGAATGTTCCTATCTATTTCTGACAAGAGTACAATTCCTGTGTGTGTGTGATTTAACACAGTTTAAGAGTCTTTCAGGGTCCATTAGGTGCTGAGCAGTTTATACCTTTATTCTATCCAAATGGGAGTAAATCCCAGGGAGGAAGTGTTCTGTGTCCACTGCAATTCTGTCAGGAATGACTACTGGCATCTCTACAGCCAGAAGAAGCATAGCTAACATCCAGCAGAAAGAGGAAAGCACTTTTGGGTTCTCATCTGTAATTTGTCCTTCAGACCAAGAACAATACAGAGTTCTAATTGGATTTTTCCCTCCTTTGTCATGTCTCCTCTTCCTCTCAATTCACACATTTACTGTATCAAGGCCCAGTTCAAATATCAATTCTCCTCTGAAATTGACTCCCACCTAAAATTTATCTGTCTCCTCTAATTCTACTCAATTAGAACATTTAGTCAGTGGCACTGAATACACAGTGACCTGAGCTGTACTTGTTCACTTATAGATTTCATCCCCCTTCCTAGATTATAAGGTCTTCAATCATGGAGATGACAGCTTATAAAGAGCCACTAAGTTCAGTTACAATACAAAAATGGTACCCAATAATTACTTGATAAATGTATACACTCCATAAATACTTATTATGTACCTACTATATGCCAGGCATAACGGGTGCAACTCCTGTCTTGACATGGTTCACAGCTGAGTGGTGTGACTGAAAGCATGTACAATGCCATCTCATATATAACCGATGTTCAACAAATTCCAAATAACCATAATAAGAATAAAATATGTGCCCTGAGAGGAGTCTCATAACATGTCACAAGGGATCTTTATCTACACAAAAGAACACTGTTAGCTTCTCAAGGAATTTCCCCAGGGAAGGAGGTATAGATATCTCAGGCAATCAGGCTTAGTTTAGATTAAACAAAAATGTGCAGTTGACACAGTATTCTGAAAGAACTCGACCAAATCAAGTCTGATTCTTCTTGCCTCAACAATTGACCTTAGAGAACTTACAGCTTGACTGAAGCTCCTCTGTTCTCAGACAGAGGTCTCAGCACATCAGCTACAATAGTAATAAATGAGTAATGGCAAAGCCCCACTGCTTTCTCACATCTGCTAGCTTTCAGAGGATTAAAAAAAAAAAAGAAGAAGAAGAAGAAAGAAATGGAAAAACCAGTCTTCTGGGCCTTAATGTTACATTCTGAAAATTCTCCTTCATCTCAAATAATGAGACTCTTGGGAACACCAAGCTTGGCAAAGGTAAAATAATACATATGTTATGTTTTAGACAAGACACACAACCACAAATTGAGCTATTTTAAGCTAGAGTTTCCTTACTTGCCAAGTCAAAGTATGAAATCAAACTTTACAAGGTGTAGTTCTTGTGATATCAAAGTCCTCTCATCTGTGTTATTTCATTTAATTGATAAAGTACAGCTACCTGTAGGATGCAATTCCCCATTAGTTAGATGAGACAACAGAACCACAAAGCACATAAGTGGCAAACCCAAGACCATGCAACCAGCTTAAGTGGGAACCAAAACATCGGACCTTACTTCCAAGTCCAAAGTCTTTTTTGCTACAACCTATGGCCTCAAAGACTGGGTGAGAAGGAGCCCTTCACTGAGCTGGAAATTCATTTGTTCTTGGGACGGTCAATGAATTAAAGAGAGAACGTGACCTTTACCTCTTTAAGGCAGCCCATAAAGTTGTTGCTGACAGGTGAGCCTGGCAAGTCAGCGGTACTCGGGCTTCCTCCCACGTAGAAGAAGTCATCAGAGCCCAGCATGGTGTAGTCCTCTTGGGTGTAGCCTGTCGTGGTAAGGATGCCATCCACAGAGATTGTCACCTGGTGGAGGGACATAGGGACAAAAAAAATCCCAGCAATGACTTTACAGTCTTATCAAAATCCGGTGACTTCCCCTACCTGTGACGTCACTTTCATTAAGATTTTGGTGAGGTATTCTTTCTAATTTGGATTGACTTTGGTATATACCAAATTCCATTTTCTGGTCTGCCTTCCCTGTAACCCAAGCCTCCAGCATTCATCTGCAGACTCTCAGGAGACTTTGGTGGAATTGTCAGGATGAGCAACTTGCTCTACCCACTGCACTCTTTACTGAGTCAGGCTAGAAAATGGAACTATCCTCAGACGACATCACTTGTCTCAGTTCATTGGTAAAACGGCTATTTTTTGAACGATTGTTATTTATGGTGGTAGTGAAAAACAGCAAAGGAGACATTTGACAATGGGGTTTGTTAGGGTTGGTCTTTGGTTGTGGATGTTTTTTTCTTTTTTCTTTTCTTTTTCTTTTCTCTTTTATTTGTTTCTTTCGGGGCTCACACCACGCTGACAAACATGCATTCAGGGAGGGAAGGAGAAGGGTCTTGTTTTTGATATGTCATGGATGATACATGCCATGGACTACCCCAGGACACCAACCCCTGCCCTCCCTTCACTGACATCACCACCACCAAGAGAAGAAGTGACCCAAACCAAAAAGGCAACTGTAACAAAAAGAAAGGAATATGAGGCATAATAACCAAAATAAAAATAATAACGCCCACAGGGAAGAAATAGCACCCACACACCCAACATCCATGAAGGGAGCAGAGGGCAGAGAAAAAAGATGAGGCCTCAAAACGTGCATACACCATACGCTGACACACCCATGCGAAAATGATGAGGAGCCAAGAGAAAAGGTGTAAGAAAAAGGGCAGGGATGGGGGCAGGAGTGAGGAAAACCAAAAGGAAGAATTGAAATCCACTTCACACTTACATGCACTAAACAAAATTTGGAACACAAGATGGAAGTAAAACCACCAAAAAAACAAACAAATCAAACAAACAAACCACTCAAAACTAAAGGGTTATCTTTCCCCTGCCTGCCACCTCCCTCAACTAAAAAAAAAAAAAAAAAAGAAAAAGAAAAAGTCCAAACCCAACCCCAAAATATAATGAAGGATGAGAGAAGGATGAAGAAGAGTGGAGACAAAATGAAGAGAGAGAAGAGCATGGAAGTGGGCTGATGACGGACAGGTTGTTAGTGATGAGGAGGAGCACAAGAGAACAAACTCTGATGCCCATGGGGAAATCCACGAGACAGGAACATGCCATGCAGAGTCTGTGCGGAGAACACACTGGCAGAGCTCCCTTTGGCCACGGTGCGGATTAAGGTGAGAGCTGGGAAAGGAAGAATAGAGGAAGTAGAGTACTTTCCTCCCCAGATCACCTGTGGCAGCTGGCCGTGGCCACACCAAAGGGAAAGAAAAATGGGCTTCAGGAGTGGGGGGAGGAACGAGAAAGGAGGAAAAGTGAGAGGGGACGGGGAGGCACAGAGAGAAGAAAGTCCTCAACAGAAATCCTGTTGTCCCTAGTCTGTAACTTGAAAGTTGCAAAATAAGAAAACAAAACAAAACAAATTTAGCTAAATGGAGAATCTTTCTTTTAAAAACCATTTTTAGGGTAAAAAAATGACAAACTGGAGAAAAGGAAACCGTCCCAAACTCATCCAAATACCATTTCCAGGACAGGCATGTTCCCCTTCCTTCTTTTTTTTTTTCTTTTCTTTTTTAACAAAAAAGAAAGGCTTGCATTTAATCCAACAAAAAATTTTAAAAGAATAAACAAGTCTAAGGAGGATAAAAGGGGGGTCTGGGAAGGAAAAGGAGGGCAACACACGGCAAACCCAAAAAAAGAGACAATAAGAATGATATCTACCAGACAATGTAGTTTGTTTACCATAGCGTGTCCGATGCCTGAGTGCTTTGCGGAAAAGGGGGAAGAAAGGAAATTAAAAATTGTGAACAGAACGATTGTTAATTAAAAAAACTAAAAACAAAGATGAGTCGTTAGGGTGTTAGTACATTAGTCGGTTAGTAAAATGACACATTGCATGAATGATCTTGTGTTAGTTTTTCAAAAAAAAGGCACCCGACACAGAAAAAGAGAGTGGGGAAGACAATGAGACCAAGACTCTATGGAAAACCTTGGCAGCCGGGGCAGAGCCAGGAAAGGAGCTGCAACCCACCCTGCCATTGAACTCCCCCTTTTTCTGAACACTGCTCAGACTGGACCTCACCCCAGTTAGAATTAGCATCATACTTACTTTCCAAGGGCTCTTCTGAATGAACACCCTTTTTTCCCTTCCCACCCTCTTGCCCATACACAGTCCATCTGTCCTGAAAGAAAACACCTTCTAAATATTATCATTTCACATGTAGATAGGTAGAGCTAAAATACTAATATTTGGGGGACTTTATATATATATAACTCTGACTACATGCATGGATGATTAGGACTTCAATACAGCAACAACAAGAAAAATTTAGTAAAGCATGTATAGGTTGCCTCTAGCATAGGAAAACTATATGATGTAGCTTATTCTGGGTTTCCACAGGTGATTAAAGATCCATGACGCCCTTGATTTTGTGTGGACATGTGCGGCAGGAGGGGGGCATTCTCCTCTCGCCCTTCCTCTTGGTTTACAATAACTGTGTTGTCAGAGTGCATCAAAATAGGTGGGGGTCTTCCTTACTTCCCAATGTAGTTATTTATTTTGTTGTCTTTGCCAGAATGCTTCCCATTGGAATCGCTCTCCCCTTTATCCCCCTTCAGAAAATGCTTTTCAAGCTTGTAAAAGCAATTTCGTGTATGGATAACACAAAAGACTGGCAGGTTAAACATTATTAAAGAAGCCCTATGATTTGTCTCCTCTGACTATTTTCAGATGCTAAATTGCCAACATACCCTAAGCTGGAAGGCTGGAAGACCGGTAACCCCAGTTTTCTGTTTGTGGTTTCACTAAAGTCGCATTAGAGGTAAAGCAAGTCACACAAGGGCCATGTTCAAGGTCATGGATTTTAAAACAAGACCAAAAACAAACCCAGAGAAAATGCATCACTACCTTGGTCCCTAATCCCAGTTACAGTCTGGAACAGACAGTCCACATTCCTTCCCTTAATCAGAACCCTTAGTAAAGTAGCTGGCCTTGGTCCTGACTTGGCTCAAAGGCAGAACCATGAGTAGATGGCAAAGAAGGAAGAAATGGGCAAAGTTCTGCTCCAGTTAGTAATGAATACTTCAGGAAACTCCAAGTAAGCATTCCTCAGATGAATTTTTTGCCACAGAAGCCATTCGACCTTACCAAAAAAAGTAGATGAGACAGTCATAAGCTTGTTATCAAATATTTATGAAGCAATTTACAGTTTAATTGAAATAGGGGCTTCCGACCCCTTGAAATGTATCCCACAGAACTAAAAAAAGATGTTATAAATGTATTTTTAATGAGCAAAATAATAATCTTAGATGATTCAGCACTGAAAGGATTACATTTGCAAAATCAACTCTGCTTTTCTGAGATTTCCCTCTCTTTCAATAAATTGTATTTGGATGCAAAATTCAGTCAGGATTTCAATGAAGACCAATTTTAGCTGCACTTTCTCTATGAGATTCATAGTCCCTCTGCCAAGAAATGCCCCCCAACATCCTCAGGCCTCTGTAGCCCTGTCCAGAACTGAGAACTCTACTTAGCGGCATCATTGGTGATAGACAGACACAGTCACCTTCACAACAGAATCCTTGGCTTATAAATTGTGTGCATGTCACAGTGAGTCTAGCACCCAGACCATGGAGGAGCTCATAATCCTTCTGGAACATAAGGTGCTTTGCATATTTAGCCACCACACATGGCTGGGGAGGATTGTAATCACCATTTCACAAATGAAAACTGTGGTGTGGCAAGGTTAAATGGTTTGTCCAAGGGCGCTGCGGAAGCTAGGTCTTACAGCTTGGAAGAGAAACCCTCCAGGGTTGCTCTCCTCTGCTCGCACTGACCAAAACAGCACCACCAATGTTTGAGTAACAGTTTGGTTTATCCCCCACTCAGTTTAAAGGATGGAACTGGGGCCCAAGTCTATTTTAGAAAAGTGTTTTCAGTAGAAATGAAAGCAATCCTTTCTCTGGCTAATTGGAATCACTCTAGAATGGCAACGCAGTATATGGAGTGGGAGAGAATCAGAGAAACAGACTGGCTGGTGAGAAACACAACCTTGCCCTGCTCCCCAAAGCATGAAAATGCTTTCCTTCCACTGACTAAAGCCTACTGTGTACTGTGTACCTGCCCATCAAAACTGTCAAAAGGTCATATTTTACTTTTTGGTCTGGTCTCTGCAACTCAAACATATCACACCCTTGTATGTTAGCAAGTGGACATTCGACTTGGGCCCTCTAGACAGCTGAGCTGAGTAAGCATGGATGGGTGAAAGAAAGCAGTAGCAATTGTATCCTTTGGCTTTTGAGGAAAAACAGTGATTCAAAAATGTCCAGTTCATGGGTATTAAGATGAGTGGGGGTTCTAAGACTTGTATTATTTGGTAATGTCACCATAGATAGAAGAGAATCTCCCAACCAGGTGGCTTCCTCAACATACTTAAGTGTTACAATGGGTGTTTTGAATACTGTGTGGTCCCAGCACCTGTGAACCTTCTCTGTTCACTTAGCAGTACTAAGGAGTTACCCTTTTCTCAAACAGAAAACATATGCAGACACCTGTCAGTTCTTACACTTTCATATTTACATTAGAAGGCATTAAATCAATCATACTGCAGAAGAAAATTTGATAAGCACTTTATGGAAATTTGCACATGTTTTCTGATTAATAAAGGATGAACACTGTCTAACTGGGTTATAACAAATTCACAAGGAGAAAAAAAAACAAGCGCAAAGAGCAACCTAGAAATGGGCATTAGCACAGACCCTGACTTTTATAGGAAATGCTTTTTATCTTCACTGATGTGGGCTGGTGAGATGTTACTATTATACTGCTATGACTATTATTATTAGTCATGAGATTGAAAACAACTTCACTTGGCTAAGGCTTTCTGAGAGCATTGTCACCTGACGGAGTTGCCTGCTTAGAATCGGGAAGCGATGTGAGTTCTCAAGCACGAACAGAACCAGGAAAGGCTGCTCCAAAGTTGACTTTTTTATTTGGGTCCTTCCACTTTCCAGGCCTCCCAGTCAACTGAAGAGCCTCGGAGGTAGAGACAGGGGCAATATAGTAGGACCACCGCACCAAGGAACAGAGAAACAAAGGAATTCAGAAAGATTCCAGCTAATTCATTCTAAGGCTACAGATTAACATAACAACAGGGAAAAAAAAAAAGAAAGGAAGAAAGAAGAAAGCAGAGGAGGGGCAGTAAATTAAAAGGAAGGAAAAAAAGGAAGGCTTTTTCTGGAAGGAATTAAAGTCATGGCATCATGGCAATGGCTAACTTAATTAAAAAGATAAACATATATTCAAAAAATGAGGAAAATCTAGTAAGCTGCAGAAACAAAACATCATCCCTAATTGAATTTAACAATAATACAGCAAGATTCAAATGTAATTAAGAAAATGATACAAAGGAAAGCAGGATAAAAGAAATGAAAGTATTTATAACTTTTATTATCTACACAACTGAATTTTATTTTCTGGAAAAAACAAGCACAAGTGGAGAATTGAAGTATGAGGAGAAACATATTTTCATAATTTTCCTTGTGAAACTGCAAAGACTGGGAGAATGTTAGACGTTGACAAATCCAACCTGTATCTATACCCTTCCCCAGCTCCAGCTAATCCAGTACCTGCTCCACAAACCTCCTCCCCAGCTACCCAAGAGGAGCCTCCGGGCACTCTCTCCCCTCAGCCATTACCTGCCGGAGGTTGCGTGTCACTTTGACATCATGCCAGGCGTTGTCGTTGAATTTTCCATTCACTGGCTCCACAATGGCCTCAAAGGCCCCGGACCCCAGGTTAATGACCAAGGAGACCGCACCATCCTTCAGAGCCAGGTTGACATAATCAGCCGACTTGCCCGTGTGCAGGATGAGCCCGTTCCGCTGCCAGGTCTTAAAGGAGAGGGTGATTTCATCACTGCTGCTCTGGATTGGGTTCTGAGACAGGTCGTAGCACAGGTACTCTGAGCCTCGGAAAGTGGCCACATTCTCCTCTCGAGCTGCATGAAAAGGAAAGAGGAAAGAAGTTAACACTTGACTGGCATGAGTCATCTGTATGCAAATACCAAAGAGAACATGTTCCCTGGGGCATTGCCCCTACCAGTGAGCCAATACCGGCTGGAGCTCCCTCCAACTCTCCCACCAGACCTGTGTCTAAGTACTAGGGAAACAAGTGAAGACAGTAACTGCAGAGAAGCTATATATCCTCACAAGGGTAGAAGACCAATGCAATGGTGTAGAAGAGCTTGCTGCCTTTCCTTCCCATTTTCTCAGAGAAAAACCTAGAGGGATATTTTATGCAAAATGGCAAAGTGAGGTTTCCATTGCTTTTGCTTCAGTGATGGTTTTCAAATGCTTGTACAAGAGCTGGTTTAAAATGGATAATTAACTGTTCTGACAAAGGGATCTTTAGCTCTAGGTGCCTTTTATTGACCAATAACTAAAAATCAATTACCCTGAAAGATCTGGCTCTAATTTCCATCCATCAATAACCCAGCTAACTTCGGTTTCCATGATAGAGTCCTGAGCCCAGTGGAATGTGATAGCATTATTAAATAGGAGGTTGGATCTGCGAAGGCGATCAAACAGATGAGGGAAAGGGGATAGAATAAAATTTGGTAATAGACTTTGACAAGACAGCAATAGCTCCCTTAGATTCAAAGGGATCTCTGTTGTAAGAGTCTCCTAATTTAGATGGCCCTGATCAGACCATTCTGTTGAACATCTAAGGGCCCACAGGGTCAAGAAAGCATTCCCTTGGAGCATATATTCCCTTTCAAGGCCTCACCCTGGGATCCTCTAATTCCCCACCAAAAGAGCCCCAGGCCTGTTTCCAAGGCTTCTGCAAGCCTCTGCTCTGGACTCATTTTCCAACAGCAAATCATGCCATCAGTGTGCATACCTCAAGGACTGAGGACTAACAATGTAGGGCCATTTTCAAGGATGTAGATAGACATTGGCCACAGGGACATCCATGTGCATTTATATCAGAGTCCTTGTGGATACAGGATAGAGTCAAAGGTTGACAGAGGAAGGAAAGAGGCCAGCAGCTGACAACCAGAGGGGCTGGTTCTCCCCATGCTAACATTTCCCAGTGCAGAACTCTGAGGAACCAAAAACTCTAAATGTGCACCTGGCTTACCTACCAGGTAGTTCAAACGTGTATTTGTTTTACTTAATCATTTGTTGATATAATTTCTAATTTCAAAATATAGCATCTGGACTTTCATTTGTCCTCCTGCCAAGCAGCCTGACTTAGAATGGCCTACTTCATATCGGAGTTGGCCAAAAGCTATCAAAAGCACCACATTAATGAAAGGAAATGGGCAACAATACAGGCTGAATACACAGTTTCCCATTACAGAGGGGGAGCTACAAAAGAAGGCTGAGCTGGTTCTATTTCCTCTTCCATAACTACACCTCAGTCTTGGTAACCAGTCAATTCCACCTCAACTTAGATCCTTATCCATCATCACAGCCCTTGGTAAGTCACTTAAGTAAAATAAATATATTCTCATGATTAGCTAAGAACTGTAAAGGTATCACTCATCATATGGGAGAGATGACCACCCATTACATACTGTATTAAACTAATTATAGCATCGTGACAGCCTTAAAACATGAACCTCAACTTTGTACTCCAGAAAATTAAAGAAGAGATCAGACTTGTCCTGTGTGTTCCAGAGGGTCTCAATGATGTGTGTCTACTTGCATATTTCTGCTTATGTGCATGTGCATGTGCACACACACACACACACACATACACACAACACACTGGCATAAGCAAAAGGGACCTGTACACATATAAATGACCACAGTGTATCTTATATGTATATATAAGTAGCAAGTATTACTTGGCACATAACCCATGTCTGATGTTTTTCACCAAAAATAGCCCCCCCCCCAAAATCATAGAGCAGCAATTTGATACCATCTATATGTTTGAAACAGATTTTTCCAACACCCTAGTGCCCTGTATATTGTCTTGATTTCTCCTCTCATTTCTGAAGAAACGGCTTTGTTAAAATGCAACTGGAGGGTGCCTGGGTGGCTCATTCATTTAAGCATCTGCCTTCAGCTCAGGTCATGCTTCCAGGGTCCTAAGATCAAGCTCGCCTTAGCAGGGAGCCTGCTTCTCCCTCTCCTCCCAGGCTTGTGTTCTCTGTTGCTATATCTGTCTTTCTCTCAAATAAATAAATAAAATCTTTTAAAAAGTGCAACTGGATAAGCCTTTGTTCAATAGACCAAGAGGTAAGCCTGACCTAGAATAAAAGATGCCAAATCAAATGCAGTTATTACCACTAAACTCTTTTCCTATGGATGTAAATGTGGACAGAGCCAACTGCTATGCCTGTCCTTGGCACCACATGTAGTATAGTGAGGGATGCCTTCTAAGTCTTTTAAGTTAGACCTTAATGTGCCCACTTAACTGAGATAAAGGAACAAAGAAATGAGTGCCTCTAAAAAGAAGCTTAAATTAGTCACTGAGTACCCTTCAAAGGGGAATGGTTTGACACAGAACAGTAAGGCACCAGGATATTATTTTATGTGCTATGTGGTGCTTAATATTTGTCATGTAATTAAATCAAAGAGTATATAAAAATAATAAGTTTTGGAGTTTATAGGGATTTTAAACTTGCTTGATTTAATGCCTTTTTTCTTTTAATCAGGGAAGAAACTGACAACTAAGAATAAGTGAGTTGCCCAAAACCACACAATCCGTTTGTGTTACTCTGCACTTCTAGTGCCTATCTGTACTTTTCTCTAAATATCCTTTTACCTATCACTTTGGATGTACCACATGCCCTTACTCTACCATTCAAATGGCACGAATATTTATTCAAATGAAACAGCCCTGCATTAACCCATTAACCATCCCAAATCTTAGATAAATTGAGCCAGAAATTTATTTCCCCCCACTCTACATAGATTACACTTACCAAAAGTAATGTTTCCCTTTCCCCCTGGAATCTGGGTGTGTTTAAAGCAATAGAACTTATTTTATGTGGAAGCCATAGAAGAAAAATGACATCATTGTAGGGAAGAGAATATCACAATAAATAAACAAGAAATAAAACCAACATGAGAAAGTCTATGTAAAACACATGCATATTTATGCTAATTTCCATGCAAATTTACCAACAAAGATTTTATGTAGCAGAGTGTGTCCCTTTGCAAGTATCTAAGGAAAATTCTGTAACCGTTCACAACCCTCCCAATCTCTTCACTCAAGCATGAATTTTCCCAGTTTACCTCTTCCATGGGCTGGAGGAGGCTACCAAGAGCAGCATCACCCCAGATGCTAGTATCTCCTCCACATGTCAATACACAATAGACACCTGAAAACTACCCTCTGAGTCATATTATAGATAAGCAAAAGTGTACCATTTTTAATGCATAGGATACATTCCTGACAGTGTGGGGAGGAGAGGCATTGGCAGTACATGAACTGATCTTTAAAAGAGCAAATGAGAGGCATGGAGGGAAAAAGGAGTAAGAACTTGAAGAAATCATTCCTTTGTATACTCTCACAACTGATTATCTCTCCTAAGATCCTAATCTTAACTTCTTTCCACTAGCCAAAACTTAAGCACTGTCTTATCACCTTGAAAACCATACTAAATTGACAACATAACTAAAAGGCACAAAACTAAATAGTGACAAACACATTTCTAAGCCCATTCATTTCTCCAGACTCTCCACTAGAAAAATATAATATTGCCCCAAATTTGTTTTCTATTCTTAGTGTTTATACTGAGAAGGAAGTTGAAGAGACAATGCAGTCACCTTGTATGTATTCAAGCTAAATAGATAGAGACAATGGATGCAGGGGATTATGTGAGTACACAACAGCTTAGCATAAAGCTCCAGCCTGGCAAGAGGGCACACACTGACATGGCTAATGGACTGTTCAGATCCACTTAAATTATATCACCCCAAAGTTTACAATCAATTGTGTAAGTGTTAAAATAAAAATGTTATTCTCACTGCATGGAAAGCAGGGCTCAATTGTATGACAACAAATCATTTCCCCATTATTTCTAAGTGTCCAATTGATTAAACATTAGATGCAATCTAGATATGTATAACCCAAGATTTTAAATTAACTTGTATAAGATATGTAAAGTATGGATCTTTCAAAAGGCTTGTTAAACCAAGTACTATATATAAATAGCATTAACAAGCATCTATTCAATTCTATTTTCCACTCTCTCCCCCCAAAAAACATCCAACTACTGATTTATATAATAATATCTCTATTTCTCTGAGAAAATGCAAAACAGATTAAAATATTCAGTGTAATATGTTTTTACTATGCAATCTAAGAAGTGTGGAGAAATGCATATCACCATTTAATTGGACTTGTGGTTTCTGATAGCTTGATGTCTCAGGCTTTGAGATCAAGAAATTCAGGCTTTACTCTGAAGGTTATGAGGAAGGAGGCTATGAGGAGTCACGGTACAATTTCATTGAAAGGATGGAGGATCTGATTTGTATTTTTAAAAGATCACATAATCTTTTAAAAAGATTTTGCAACTCAATTTATGTTGAGTTGAGAGGGAACTGAAAGAGCGGACTAAAAGTAAAGAGCCCTGTTAAAAGATGAGAACATAGGGGCACCTGAGGGGCTTAGCGTTGAATGTCCTACTCTTGATTTTGGTTCAGGTCATGATCTCAGGGTCCTGAGATAGAGCCCCACATCAGGCTCCATGCTCAGTGCTTCGTCTGTTTGTCCCTCTCCTTCTCCCTCAGCTCCTTTACCCGGCTTGTTCGCATTCTCTCTCTCTCTCTCTCTCTCTCTCTCTCTCTCTCTCTCTCAATCTTTTAAAAAAAGAAAAAAAAGATGAGAACACATTTCAACTACTTTTCTAGGGGTGCCTAGGACTGGTTCAACCTGGATGTTGATACCCTTCCCAAATAAGGTTTACCTTTCTCTGGGCAATAACGGAAGCAAAGGGTTCTTAGGAGAGACAATCCAGGAAACTGAGAGGCAGAGGTA